TTTTCTTGACAGACACTTAAGCTTGGTTGAATGCTATTGGCAAGTTCTTCTTACAGTGGCCTGTTGTGACCTACTTGGCTCTTTTGTGACTCAGAATCCTTGAAGAGCTGGAACAACAATATAGAAAGATGGTAACCACAGTTACCTGCTTACATGGTGGTCAGAAGTTGATTTCCTTTTTTAGTTTAACAGATATAGAAGTTGAACTTTGATAATCTGCATGCTGCAGAATTGTCATACAGAAATGTTTCTTATTTCCCAGTGGCAGATTACTCCAATTTTAAATCTCTTCTAACAATTATTTTTCTAAAATATACTATGGTATATTTCCTACTAACTTAAAAATAAATGAAGTATTTTGTGAAGTAGTAGCCATGTTTTTTCCATCCACTTACTGATGTGGTGAGTTTACAATGTGCCTTTCAGTCAATACTGCAAATTAACATTTTTTTCTGTGTGCGAGTGGATGGGGGAGGAGGAAAAATTGTAGGGGGAAGGTTCTGGCATATTTATTGGTGCAAGCAGTCAAAGTATTTCAAAGGAAGCACATAGTCTAACAGACTGCATACACTTAATTACAGAAGTCAAGGCAAACTTAAGTGAATCTTGTTAACATCCTAGGAAACTGCTGTCTGGTTTCTAAACTTACTTGGTTTTGGAATAGTTGTTGTGTGCTTTGGCACTTCAATTCCATATGGAGACCTAAAGAGGAGGTTGTCATATAAAACCTCATTTTCGTCTGAATTCAAATAGTCTCACAGCAGATGACATGATGTGGGATTTTAGTGATAGACGATCAGTATATTTAATGCTGTTGATTATCATGCACTGATGACTAGGATGAATTCCATGTTAGATGGGCCTTTCTCTTGGCATATGAGATCCATTCTTAACAAAGGATGTTTCCAAAGATAGCGATGAGCAACTATCCAACTCTTTTTGCAGAGTTTCACAGTCTTTTTTAAAATTGCTGCTGTTTAGTGGTTATGTGAGTCAGTCCATATGCTAGGGGGATTGTGGGGTCATGAACCGAAATTACATCTGTATACAGCAGTGATCTTCAGCTGGGGTATTGTGAGAGCCTTTGAAGCGTACTGCAGGGAACAAGGAGGTAAGCACTTGCTTTTCCGTGCCTGGCTTCTCCTCCTCCCACCACTCACTGTCTGGCCCCTGTGGGAGGAGGTGAGCACACGCTCATGGGCACCTGGTGCCATATGAGTCAGTGACCGGGGGGGGTCCCCCACGGCCAATCTCACCAACCGGGGGGAGGTCACCCCGCTGCCGATCGCACTTACCTGAAACTGACTGCAGAGCTCCTGGAATTGGCTACAGCCACTTCATCCACCACTTCATTCCAGTTGGCACTTGTGGGGAGGCACCGTGCTCCCACCTGACCCCCCCCCACCCGTTGCCTAAGCGGGGAGCGCAGCCTGACAGGGGGTGCACCAGTGCTCTCAAGGGGTACACATGCACCCTCATGCACCCTCTACACGTCACCACTGCACATGCTTGTCCTTGCCTGGCCACTCCCAGTCCTTGTGCAAGGATGTAAGCACTGTAATAAGCAAGTTTTTTCAAATGGGGTGCAGCTCAATTCACAAACGAAATGAAGGAGTGCCTAGGGCCTAAAATTGTTGAGACCCGCTTGTCTATGGAGTTATACTCACCATAGTACTCCCTTTATTGATGATAGTTCAATGGATCAATAAGAAGTAGTTACCCATGTTAGTCTGAAGTCAGGCAGAAGGCAGGAAATCCAGCGTGTTGGAGCAGACTCGATTAATTGAGTCTGCTAGAGCATGGGAATTGACATGCTCTGGCAGCCTTCCATGTCATGTCTGGCAATGTGTAGGGGGTGCACACGGGTGCACGTGCACTCCCTGAGCTTGATGGTGCACCCCTGCAAAAAACACTGCTGACACCTGTGGACAGCCGCCGCTTGTCCCCACCCCATTCACCAGTGACACTGCCAGCAGCGTCTGTGGGCAGTCCCCAATTGCTGCTGGCCACTGCCCCCCCTGACACCACGGTGGCCATCTGTGGGAGCTCCCCGCTCACCGTTGATATGCCCCCCACTGCTGACACCACCACTGCTGCCTGCAGGCAGTCACTGTGCCTCCCCAGCCTCCGGCGGAACGCGGCATTCATGTGTGTATCAGTGTTGCCATGTGTCTCCACGCTGAAAAAATGGCAGTGGTGCACTTTGAAATAAAACACACTTGATGAGCTTTAGTTCAAAGTGCTCTGCCGCCATTTTTTTCAGTGTGGGGACGCACAGTGATGCTGATACATGTGACACGCAGGTGCTTATAATTATTGCTGCTCACTAATTAAAGCACCTGGTGCTGCATCCCAGAACACATGTAAAAATACCCTTAGAGACTAAATGGTTCAGAGAGGCATAAGCTTTTGTAGGCGCCAGCCTGCTTCATCAGATGCTACTTCACAGCAAGCTGTTTCAAAGCACCTGATGAATTAGGCTGTCACGTAAGAAAGCTTATGCCTTTCTGAACCAGTTACCTTTCTAAAGTGCTACCTTGTCCTGCCTTCTGCCTAATTAGATCAATTTTGTCTTTGACCATTGTATCCTTGGCCCTCTTGTTCATCAGCTTTTCCTGTTTATTTCTTTGTCTGTCTACTTTAAGTTAATTAGTACAGTTGCATCTTCAGAACAAACAAAATTACATGCTGTCACTGCTGTTGAAATATGAATAACTTTATGGCTACTGAAAAAGGTTCAAGCAAAATAGCAGGTAGACCACACAGGCAACATTTGTCTGTACTAGAGCAGTGGTTCCCAGCCTTTTTAAACCATGGACCTTAAGTGACCGCGGACCAGCAAACTGCAATGTGGAAGTGACCAGCATACTGCAGAGCAGCAGCCAGCCCTTTTTTATACTGAGTATAAAAAAGGGCTGGCTGCTGCTCCACAGTATGCCGGTTACTTCCGGACTTCTAGTCCAGCAGCCATCTCTCCTGCAGACTGGCAGCCAGCCCTTTGCGGCCTGGTACTGAGCCGTGGCCTGGGGGTTGGGAACCTCTGTACTAGAGCTTGAGAATCTTTATTGGATACCTACTGGAAAGAGGACTCTGCTTACTAACCATGGCTGCTGGGAACACAGGGTGCCTATACATGTGGTCCAGGGTAGGGGGATGGGTGTTTTAATTAACTCAGCTCTTGGGAGCTGCTCTAATTAAAATGCTGCAGTGTCTCATGTTTCAAAATGGCAGTGGGGGCGCTTTAACTAAAGCTTGTTGAATGAGCTTTAGTTAAAGTGCCCCCACCTCCATTTTTGAAATGCAGGGATGCTAAATACATGAGAAGTTGTAGCATGCTGGAGTGTTCTAATTTGAACTCTCGATTGAGTCTGCTAGAGCATTCTAATCCGAATGCATAGGAGCACGTGTATAGGCACCCACAGAGGCTATTTGAAATCTTCCAAGGGTTTAATTTAACTTCATTTTTCATGTCTCTCTGCTGGCTGGTAGGTTAGTGATCAACTCATTGTTGCTATTGCTGGTAGTAGTTGTCTTCTTAATGACTCTCTTTATGCATGTCTCTAGCTTGTAAGCATTTTGGCTTGCCCAAGGATCCAAGACAAGAAATATCTAAAATATCAGACTTTTTATTTTTTATAATATAAAGTCAATCTTGTGTTTTTTCAGGCCTGAACTTTGAATTCTTGGGGGCTGTAAATATTCAATGTGAAGTTTTCCCAATTTTTATTTTTATCCTTTCTGGAGGAAGAAAGAGTTTTGTTTTTTTTAAGTGCCCCTCTGACCCAAAGAGTTCTTGTATCTTGAGAGAGTAAAGATGAAGTTACACATTACACTTTGTCCACATTAAGGGCACTTAAAACATGAGCATCCACATGTCAAAGTTCAGTAACTCATGCTAAGTACCCACTGAGTGTCTCAGCTATGCTACTTTAGGTGAGGGTTAACGGTGGCTCATGCTGTCTAGCTCATGTGAGTGTAACTTCAGTCAGCTTCACAGAGATGAAACAAGCAATTTGCAGTCCTCCAGCATCCCACAATGCATCACTTCCAGCCTCCACCTCTCCCCCAAATTCTGAGCAGAGATATAACCTAGGTGTCCCAGCTCCTAGCTACACCCCCGGTTGCCAGCCCTCTCATGTCAGGTCAGAGCTGTAAGGGCAAGAAATGATATTAATTCTTACTGTGCAGCAGCTGATAGCATATTCTAACTTTAATATCAGCTAAAATCCTACAAAATGATTATGGTCTAAGTGTAACATGTAACTTCACCCTAATAAGAAAGTAGTTCTGTTGCTTAACTCCTTCCCTGCCTTCATTTTGGCAAAGTCCTTTACCTATGTGAATTACAAAGGTGCCTGTTTCTGCAGCTGTTTGTAGCTTCACAAAGCAACAGCAGAATGAGCCTGACATGATTCTGATAGGTTTCAGTATGGTCCACAGGGTTTTGAACGCCAGGTTTAAGAGTCTTGTTATTTTATGTTTGCTGCATAGGAAAATAGTGAGCCAAGGTAAAGACACTAGCCTGGGGTTGGTTCATCTTTGCAAGGTTGCCTGAACCACTATAAAATTACATTTTTCAAATGAAAATTTAAATTCAGTAGAAATGTATGGTTTAGCATGGTTTGCCAAGGGGAAAAAAAGGTTTCTCACTTACCAATGGAAAATCAGAGCGTCTTTAAGCCCTGACTTATTCTATAACTTAGTTATATAACAGAATGCTTTAGAGTAGGTTGAAAACAAGTATCACAGAGAAAATGTAGTCTGTTTCTTAATTTGTGAAACTTATTTGCTCATTGCTGTATAGAAGGTTTGCATTTTTGCACAAAATGTGATGCTGTACTATGCTGTGAGGTTCTGCACCTTGCAGTGATTCTGAACAAGGCAAGGTTCTTTCACCATGTTGCATGGGCACTGCTGGTCTTAGAACTGAAGCTAGCAAAATGATACTCCCATTGACTACTTATCTAACATCTTCTTTTTTGTTTACCTTTTCCTGACAGTAGAAGAAAATGAAACAGAGGACCAGCAGGGAGGTGTGGGACAGACAGCTGCTCAGACTGGTAATGCTGAATTCTTTCTTAGTGTTTGCTTACTCTCTTTCAACATTATGAGATTTATTTTTTCAACCCATGCTCTTATTCTATTGGATATCAACTTACAATACATTTATGAGCTCAGAAAATAAATACATGTCACTTTTCAGTTCCAGATAATCATTAGTAGTGTATCCTACTGAAAGGGAAATCTCTGTTTTTTGAAGTCTAGCATGAGATTTTTTACCAAAAAACTTTCCTTCACATTCATTCACCCTACTTCTTGCACACTCCCTGGCTAGGGACAGAAATTACACATAAACTGGTATAAGTGATCAGAACTTGGTTCAAATCTATAACACAGAAGAATTTCAGTGCACCTAAACCTCTTTCAAAGTGGCTGAAACTGGTTTAAGATAAGCCTGGATGGATGTAGTATCAGACTTAACTGGTATAGGTCAAATTGGTTTATTGAACTTTTGTCCCATATCACCTCCAGATTCACCTTAACTCACAGCCCCTCAGCATCCCAGGATGCTTTGCACCTCCTGCAAACTCCTTTGCCCCTCCCCCGCCCCCCAGTAGGTTGGGCAGGCTAGCCTTGGCCCAAATTGTCCGCTCCAGCAAGGTAAGGTGGTGTGCTCTAGTGCCCTCTGGCTTCTGGCCTGGGCCACTGCAGGCATGTGGCTGCATTTCCAGAATCAAAGTGAATGTCTGTTCATTTGCCTATGGGTTCAATCTATGCAGCTTAGACTAACCTGCAAAGATTGAATCAGTTCAACCCTAGGCTTTCTGACTGTCTGTACTTACCCCGGCCTCTCTCGCCTCCAAAACTAGCCCCAACCCTCAACAGTTTCTCATTATCTTTATATGTATCCTAATTGAGTTATTTTTATATACATACAGCATGTGAGGACTAGTTGCTTCTATAAATGATTTTATAATTTGTTAATAGACACTAGGGCTGTGTGAAGCTTCGTTCGCTGATTCAATTCAGAAGAGATTTTGGCCCAATTTGGTGGCTGAACCTCTGAATCTGAATTGAATCTGGAGACCCATTAATCTTTCTGAATTGATTCAGAGAGATTTGATGATTTGGCCATAGACGCAGCTTTATATGTTTTTTCTACATACCTCAAGGTACTAGGTGGAGCTTATGAACGCTGAGTTGGTGGAACGGATGGATCATCCCATGGGAGTGCAGGGGGGTGGGCCCTGCGTGCTCAGCAGCGGACGTGGAAGTGGACCAAAAGTACTTCTAGTCCACTTCCGGGTCTGCCGTGGAGCGTGCAGGGGGCCTCCTCCCTGCCCCTTGGCTCGGCAGCTGGTGCCTCCTGGGTCTGTGGGGGCACCGGGGTCCCCCTGCCGCTGATCACCAAGCAGGGAGGCTCCAGGGGGAGGTCCCCCACATGCTCGGTGGCAGACCCGGAAGTGGACTGAAAGTACTTCTGCAGTCCACAAGTACTTCCAGTCCACTTCTGGGTCCACCGCTGAGCACACGGGGTCCCCCTCGCGCTCCAGTGGGACACTCCATCCACCCCAGCATCGCAGCGTTCACAAGCCATGCGTGGGACCTTGAGGTATGTAGAAAAAACACATAAAGCTGTGTCTATGTCCAAATCGCTTATTCTCCAAATCAGAATTGAATCTTCAGATTCAGATTTGGCCGAATTGAGTTGGGACAGTGCTCCGAATCAGCAAATTGAATCACTGTTCCCCGAATTTGGGCTGGAATAGACTCCCTCCAGGGCCTGGAATAGACTATCTCCAGAGGTGGTGCAAGCACCTACTCTGGATTCCTTTAAGAAGTGTTTGGACACTTATCTTGCTGGGATCCTTTGACCCTAGCTGATTTCCTGCCCTTGGGACAGGGGGCTGTCAATGATCTCCCGAGGTCCCTTCCAGCCCTAATGCCTGTGAAATCTATGAATCGGGCCGAATCCAAATCCCAGTCGAATTCTGCCCGCTTTGCACACCTCTAATAGACACTGACCCTTGCAGTTAAGTCAAGACCAGTTCTGTAGATAAAGTCTGTGTTGGAATCTGTGTGGAATTTATAATGAATAAAGACATAAAGCAGTGCCAGTCAGTTAATACTATATTATGTGTTGCTTAAAACGGTGAGGCTTATTTGTTTCCCTCAATCTTAATATGATTCAAGACATTCAGGAAATGATTAATTTTTGTTGTTGGTATTGATCCTACAAACTCTTATCTAAAGTAATTGTGCTAATGTTACTGAGGTTACTTCAGTGAATAAAAGCTGCTTCTAGCCCTGAAAGTCTTTTAAGGGTCCTAGAATCATAATAGAAAATGCGCATGTGTACATAATGTCTAATTATTTATATATAAAATGGTTTGAGTTATTATTTTATAAAGAATATAAATATACTTATTTTTTATTATCCTTTGTATTCCATCTATCTTTAGGGTTTGTATTCTCTGGGCTTTATAATATTTGTTACATTTTTCCAGCAGGCTTTGTTGGCAATGAGGGTTAAGTGCTTTATGTAAAGAAGACAAAAAAGAAAGGAGGGGGAAGAGACAGTGTTCTCTGTAGCTTTCCTGGAAAGCTTTTTTCATATTCACCAGAAAGTATTTATGACCTAGATCAATTAATTTTAAACTTGAAAATTAATACATGCAATAAACATTTTAATTAGAAGAAGAGCTGACTATAAAACTGGAGAATGACATGTCAAGAAATAGTTGTTTTCTACTTGCTTTTGTTAACTCCTGAGTCAATGAGTAGTCTTGTTAGTGCAGTCAATTTCACATCACTGTTGTATCTTGTATTCTGCTATACAAGATAAGACCTTTTTCTTGCCTTTAGCAAGAGCTTAATGCTAAAAAATTTAAAAAGGACTTCAGACAATTTCATTCAAGCAGTACAGAAGGCCCATACTGTATACATACTGCCAGAAGTTTTTATAGTAATACTTTGTATCTAAGCTCTGGCTCTAACCATTAAATGCGCTTTTTATAGAGTACCAAGTTATAAATGTAGTGCAGCTACGGCATATTAATCTTACTGCAGAGATTTAATGAGCCAGTTGTTTTGCGATGGACACTATTGGGAGCAGAGAGCGACAGAGTTTTACTTTACCACTGAGCTGCAGAAATATTCCTTGCCTGGTAATAATTATAACCACATGATCTTAGTTTTCCTTTCTTTTGCCAGCACTTTTTCCATGCAGAAGTGGCTTGGAAGGAGGTCCATTGCAAGGCAGTGAAATGGATTGGAAACTAAGCTGTTTTCTTGGTAGTTTGACATTTTAGCTGTGATCAGCTATGGATCCTTGTTGCGTAGACAGAAATATGTAAGATGAGTTTCAAGAATACAGATAGTCTTTGCCAGTCCACTGAGATGGCTTTTAGATATTCATTACTTTTACTTGACTTTTATATGGGTTATAAAAAGTAAATGTGGTGAAACCTCATTTTTACATGGACAGAATAGAATTTCTGCTGGTTGGCCTTAAACCGATCCCATACTCGAGATTAATTGAAGTCCATGGCTTTATTGCTTCCAACACTTTTAAGCCAATGCAGTTTTTCATTTTCCCCAAAGTTGCAGTTTTATTAGACCAAGTTACAGCAATAACATCCCTTATGTGGAGGAGGAAGAGGAGAAGGAGAGAACCACTAGTCAGAGAACATAGTAATGGGAAAATCATACTTCTTTTAATTTCCATTTATAAATAATGTTAACATAATCAGTAACAGAAGACAATGATTCATTTTTATTATGCTAATAAGCTGAATTTATTTCTTGTCCAAAACTAAACCTTCTTTCTAGGCGAGATGACTAGCATGGAGTCTGCAGAAGCAGTGATAGTTGCAGATGTTTCATAGTTTCATAGTTGGTAGGGTCAGAAGGGACCTGAACAGATCATTAAGTCTGACCCCCTGTCATGGCAGGAAAGAGTACTGGGGTCAAACAACCCCAGCAAGGTGTGCATCTAGCCTCCTCTTAAAGACCCTCAGGATAAGAGCCAGCACCACTTCTCTTGGAAGTTGGTTCCAGATCCTTGCCGCCCTGACAGTGAAGTAGCGCCTCCTGATGTCTAGTCTGAATCTACCCTCTGTCAGCTTGTGACCATTATTTCACGGCCACTAGATCCCCCCTCAGCCTTCTCTTGTGGAGGCTGAACAGGTTCGGGTCCCGTAGCCTCTCCTTGTAGGGCCTGCCCTGCTGCCCCCTGATCATGCGAGTGGTCCTCCTCTGGACCCTCTCCATGTTGTCCAAATCCCTCCTGAAGTGTGGTGCCCAGAACTGGACACAGTACTCCAACTGCAGCCTGACCAATGTCGCATAGAGGGGGAGGATCACTTCCTTGGACCTGCTTGATGCACAATAAGGTACGGTTGGCCTTCCTGACCGCATCCCCACACTGTTGGCCCATGTTCATTTTGTATATTGGTGGTAGTGACTAGGGTCATTTTTGTTCCAAATAGTGGCTGGTGCCTAATGAGGGAGTCTGTATAACTGACAATGGCAATATTTGCAGGTGTTGGGGACAGTGACATTTGAAGATGTGATTACGCCAAAGTAATCATTTCAGAGGAGGTTGTGGTTGTATTGCAGGTGTTGGGTTTAAGGAAAGGGGTGAATAGTATTTAATATGAAGCGTGTGTGAAATTGCAAGCTTTAATTAGGAGGTAAAGGTGCAACTACACTTGAGCACATGTTGCTTTTGTGAAGCAGATTTTATTTTAGCCTTTCGAATACCTGTTTATATAAGCGAACTAAAGTCATACACAGTCATTTAAATATAGCCACCTCAGGGGTGGCAGACAGCTATGGTTGCATCATAGAAAACCATTCAGCAGTTTCCAGAGTGGATGGCTTGTTGTTAGTGTGTTTTTGTGTGGTGGTATCTTTTCAAGAAAGTGGATAAGGTGGAAATGCATTCCCAGAGAGGAGCTGAGACTTCCAGAACTCATTTCACAGAGGCATCATAGCCTAAAATTGAACCTAGGTCCCAGAGGGTCCCACTTAAGTGTTGACCTAAAAACAAATGTGCCAGTTGGCTAGAGCATGTATTCTAAAGTTGCAGCAGAAGGGAATAAGCTTGATTGACTCCCATCCCTGTAGAGTTATGTCTGTGAATGCAGAAGGAGAAGCAGAAACATTTTTATTAGTCTTAAAAAGATTCTAATATTAATAACTAGTCTCTAAGTAGGAAGCTTTGACTTGAGGAATTCTTCAGGTTTTTGTCCACTAAGGGTGTGTGTGCGCGCGTGTATGTGCACGTTGTTAGATTCTTGCCAAGTGCTAGCGTATTTGAATAATGAATCATGAGAATTTTTGCCATCTCTTTTTTTCCCCACATCATAGTTAAAGCAGAGTCAGACTCTAACCTTATTTTAAAACAAACAGGTCTGTAAACTTTATGTGCAGCATTTAAATACTCATGTTAAAATTCAGACCCAGTGCCCACATTTCCCTGAGTGCTGTCAGTTTTATGAGATGAAACTGGGAGCTTGAGCTGAACAACTAATAGTATGCGATGTGCACATGCTGCCTTCCAACAAGTGTTTAATGATGTCGGGGTCAGTTTGGAACAGTTAAGACAATTATTTCTTTTCCTGAACTGCTTATAACCTAGTGATATTTTAACTACTTAGTTAAGCTTGCAGAAGAAATTGAAAAAGGTACTGGCACAGGTAATTTAGATCCAGATCCAGCACAAAAGCTTTCTGAGGTTCAAATAGTGTCACTTTTGGCTATGATAGTCTGCAGATTAGTCCTTAATTTGGATGCATCTTCCTGCGCTAAAGTTTTTGTTCTTCTACTCAAAAAAGAAAAAAAATGCACATATGTAGGTGTGTTTTTACAGCAAATATGCCCATTTTCCAGATTTATTTTAACTTGTCTGTTGACCTCTGTAACATAACTCCCTTTAAAAAAAAATCTTGTCCATTATCCTGCTGGAGAAATTCCTCTGGTTTAGTTCACAGACTCCATAGCACAAGAAAGCTAACTTAATGACATGTTTCATTTCCAGTTTATGCATATAGCTCCTTTAGCATTAATAAAACATTTGAAGGGGAGCATTGTGGCAGTGTGGATTGCAAGTTATAGGGAGATGGTGTGAGCCATGACACTTGTAGAAGACTTTGGAAGTGGCTGGTATTAGTGACACCTGCCCCTGTGCAAAATAGTGGTGGCAGCATCCTCATATTTTAGGTAATAATGGTGGCTTTCATGGTGGCCAGAGCAGTAGATAGCTACTAGCTGGATTATCTCTTTATTAAGCGTTCGTTTTCTAAGATGACTTATTCTTGTCTTGAACAGACAGCTGCATGTGGGGAACTCTCTCAGATGTCTGAAAAGGAAATGAGACTGCCAATAAGGAAAAAGAAAAGTGGTGAAATGTGTGTTTCTTTTGTCGGGATGTACACAACCATTTTTCTTTTTATTTCAGTTGTTGCACTGTGGTTCCTGAGAAAAACAAAGTAAACTGCCAACTTGCTTTATTGGAGAAGACAGATTGTTTTATTTCTGTCTTTGGAGGAAGCTTTTAGTAAAGTGGGCAAAAAGTCAGGAATAATTAAAGTACTGTACTGTACTTGCTTCCCCAAAAGAAAAGTTGCAGCTAAATTAATCTTCATATTCATTTCAGCATTAGTCATTTACAAGACTGAGGTAGTGCAATGAGTTATGTGGTTCTTCTGTGCACAAGGGATTTGGCTGAGACCACCTGATTCATTTAACTTGGAACCTCATGTTGGGTTCATCACTGCTATTTTGGAGTTAGAACTAGATTACCCCACTAATCCTCAGAATACTTGTTAACCTATCAAGCAGATGGAAGTATCCTTGTGGGCTACTTACTGTGTACAGTATGTTTCCAGCTTTCCATGACCCGGCAAAACAAGGAATCCTACCAGCTTACTTAAAGTTGTGTACAAGTTAAAGTACATATATAAACTTTTAACCTAGAGCATTATTTCCTATGGCTGTGTTCACAGGAAGTCATATGGTGAGGAGGTATTGGGTTAGCTTTATAAAATAAAGGTCAATTTCATGCTTATGTTAATCAGTTCCATTATTTTATACTTCGTTTAATTCTGATAATTTCCTGTGAAGCTCTATAGTTAATGGTGAAAAGAAACTCTCTCTCCTAAACTCATTGATTTTTTCCCCTGTTCCTTTTCATTGGAAACTAATTCTAATGGTGGTTTATCTTTTTATATACTGATCAAAGCCCCTCAATAGCTGTGATAACATTGACAAAGTTAACATTGAAGTATGGAAGGGTTTCTTGAAAGGGGGATAGTGCTGTTTTGTGGATTCTTAGAGGGGAAAAATCCTTTCATCATCAAGATTAGAAAAAAATTAAAGGTAGAGGCTTCCTCTGCTTATTTAGCAATAAAATCTAAAGTGTGAAGCTCCTGTGCTACAGGCTTTTGTCAAATATATTTCTTGTTGGTAACAACAAGAACCAATCTGATTTTTTTTTAAAAGAATCTTTTCTTAAAAGCCCTGAGGTCACAGTCTTGATTTTCTTTCAGACCCTAACTGTAAACTAGAAGACAAGGCAGAAGATGGAGAAGTGATAGATTGTAAGAAAAGGCCGGATGAAGGGGAGGAGTTAGAGGAAGAAGCTGTGCACAGCTGTGACAGCTGCCTCCAGGTGTTTGAGTCGCTGAGTGATATCACAGAACACAAGATTAATCAATGTCAACTGACAGGTAAACAATACTTATCACTTTGCGGCTTCTTGCACTGTTCTATTTCTGATTCCAGTTCCGTTCTTCAGAAATTTTCCCCTTCTCAGCTATTTTACTCCAAGACTGAACGCTTAGGTGAAACCAGTTGCAATTAGGAAAGGATTTTGGAGCAATGTTATGCTGCAAACTGGTATGCCATAAATTTCCTTCAGATGGAAAGGCTAGATGGATAATTAGTGCAGTTGCACTCGATTTAAATTGTGCTTTAGGTTTTAGCATGCCTGGCTACTTTGCTGCTTTCCTGATTTAAACACTATAGTTTTATATACCTTCAATCTTACTAATAATTTAAAAAATCTGATGGTGCTTATAAATGGATTTGACTGCAGTGGGATAATGGATAAATTCATACAGTGGTGGGCTATGGATTTAGATCAGATACTACTTTATTCTAAGCTGTTACTACAAATGAGCGTACAGTAATCAATAAGTGAAGGTTGAGGAGAATACAGCAAATTGGTACACTATAAATAAAAACACAGTCATGAGTTAAGTGGTAAAACTGAATGCTGATCAAACACTATTCCCTTCTTGCAAATAGAACAGGGTGAGTGGATCTGTGACTGCCTTGAGCTTTTTCACTCACAGGTAAAGAAGCAATAGTCTAAAGCAGGGGTTGGCAATGTATGGCCAGCAGGCCAGATGTGTCCTGTGGAGCCATTTTGATCCAGTTTATGGGTCTGGGGCTTTAGCAGCATTTGGAGGCAGGGGGGTTTGGGGGCAGTTGTTTTTCCCTGTCACCATGGGGAGATGCACTAGGTGCAGGCTTTCTGCCCTGCTAAGGAAAAGCAGTGGTGGTGTCCAGGTCCTAGTGCCTGCCTATCTGTGACATGAACTGGGTCACTCTCGCACACAGTGTAAAAGGTGTCTAAAAGCTTGGGTCTTGATTCTGCAGTGGAATCCATGTAGGTGGCCGATTCACTTGTATCTTACTGAAGTAATTTTGCCATTGTATTTGTAAACTATTTTGATGGAATACACCGTAGGTCAAAACAAACTGAAACCAGGGAATGCCATTTTATTAAATAGAAGGGTACTTTAACTTTAACCATTAAGTCACAACATGCAGTTTTTGTGCAGTGCAGCCAGTGAGGGGCCAGCCTTGCTTGTTGATAGTTCTGTTAGCCCAGAGTATCAGCCTCACATATCACAATATGTTAATGGAGATGTGTGTATGTATCTATATGGAGGTGTTTTTATTAGAGATACACCAATACATCGGTCCGATATTGGATCAGCACCGATAAAAAGAAAATTGTCTGTATCAGAAATCATCCTGAGAATTAGCTGATGGGCATGTAGGCAGCGAGGCGCACAGCCCAGCAGCTTGTCTGGGAGGGCATGGAGTGGGGGGAGAGTGTGCCCCTGGATCTGCACGGGGTTGGGGCTGCGCCAAGCTCTTCCTGGTGGGGCGAGGTTGGACTGGGGATGGGCGGTGCTGGGATGGGGAAATGGGGGGGCTGCAGCCACCCCAACATTTGCCGTAGCCCCCCGATCCCCGCAGTCACAGCACTGCTGCTGTCCACCCTGGCCCCAGGCAGAACTGGGGGGCACACGCCCCGTCATGCTCTCCTGGATGTGCGGTGGAAGCCACTGAATGAGCTGACGTACCAGCGGCTCCCAGAGCTGTGCGCAGCAGCTGGTGCCACCCCCACCTCCACATACCTCCTAGAGAAGCCGTGGCTCCGTCCTGCGCCCATCCTGCCCTGGCTAGGCAGCGCTTGCCCCATCCCCTGCCCCAGCCCCAGCTCCACTCCTCCCTCATGGCAGGGCCTTGATCTGCGCCCCGCCTCCATGCTCCTTTCCCCCTGGCCCTCACTTTCTCCACACCAGACTTACCAGCTGCATGTAGCTCTCCAAGCTGCTGGGCTGGTATTGGAAATTGGATAGGTATTGGCCAATATGCTTCCGTAAAAATTGGGTATTGGTATTGGTCCCAAAAATCTCTATCGGTACACCTCTAGCTTTTATTTTATTTTTGGAGGGGTTTTCTTTGGAGGGGAATTGAGTGAGATCAATAGAAAAGGTTTTGGCAAAATATGCACAGTGCAAGTTGCACTGCATCTAATTCAGGATAAAATGAGAAAGGAGCCAGGCAATATAGGGATAAGTAGAAGGAATGATGAGGGAAGAAACTGAATTTGTGTCAGGATTTTAGCGTCCAAACTTGGTTTTTCCATCAGTTGTAGGCAATTTGGCCCTTTTTCACGTCACAAAACTTTTTTTTCTCTCTGTCTCTTCCTCCAATATCAAATCCTGGTTTTTCTTACCC